TAGTTTTTCACACCAGAAACTATTCAGTATTTCAGTTAAAGAAATCGCTGTATGAGCATTAAAAATAGGGAATCCTAAAATAAAGCTCAAAAGGAAAGTAAAAGAGAAAAGGCAATGATGTAACATTAAAATAATCCTTAATTCTGAAGATGAAAATGGTCCCTGAACATATTTAAATTGCTTCTTGCTCTTGTAGTCTTATCTTATTCTTTTTTTCATTATTTAGAGAATACTTTATTAGTTTCTGTAGTCAAACCCAAGTAGATATGACCTTACATATTTAGTACGATGTGTTACACCTGTACACATGGAAAAAAAAAATAAAAGCAAATTAACATTTCTAGACCAATACGGCTGTCCATTTCTGTACAATGCCAACTCAACACAGTAAATTGGGATGACTTTTTACAAAGTTGGCAGCACCGTTAAAGTTTCCCAAAATTCAAATTATATATATGTACATATATATTTATATTTATATAAAAAGACTAATAATAGTATGTTATGCATCAATAGTAGCAACAGCTTTTCTAGGTTCTACAGTCATCTGTACAAAATTATAGACATTCAGCACATTCCATTAAACAAAAACAAAACAAAACAAAACAAATCAAAGAAAAGAATAACATCCAGAAAACAGCAAAGTTCTGTTGCTGTTGTGGTACCTGGCACCATTTTTTTTTTATTAGCATCTTAATCATCATCTGGAAAGAGAACATTCTAGAGTAATATCATTAAATCTTGCTCTGATAAAGCACGGTCCCTACTATGTATCATAAAGCAGGTACAAGATATTTTACATTCATTGAGTTATGATACAGTACCATCCTACATCAATAATACTAGAATCAGTTTTGGTTTGAAATTTACTTTGTCTGCAAATAAGATTGCTACCCCTAGTTTTTTTCTGGGATCCTGTCACATGGAGAATTGTTTTCTATCTTTTCACTTGCAGTCTATGGGATTCTTTTTTGCACTAGGTGTGTTTCTTGTATACAACATATTGTTGAATTTTGCTTCTTATTCCATTTTGCCAGTCTATTTCTCTTGATTGGTGATTTGAGGCCATTGATATTACTGGTTATAACTGATATGTACTGACTTATTATTGACATGTTATTGGCCTTTTGTTGACTCTTTTTACTGTTTCACCTTCTCCTTTGAGTTTCTTGCCTTGCCTATTTGATTTATTCTGTTGGGCCTCACGGTGTTGTTGCCTCATTGTCTTTCTCTAGGATCTTGTTTAGAATTGCTTGTAGTGTCCAGCACCATTTATTAAAGAGGCTTTCTTCTACTGAAGATGTTTGGCTCCTTTGTCAAAGATAAAGTGGCTGAGTGTGTTTGGAGTTGTTTCTATATCTTCTAATCTGCTCCATTGATCCTTGGATTAGTTTTTTCCTATCTTTGCCATGCCACTTTTATCACAATAGTTTTGTCGTATAATTTCAAGTCCAGTATTGTGATAGCCTCTTCCTTGTTTTTGTTGTACCACACTTCACTGCAGAAAGAATGGTTATTATAAAGAAACCAACTAATAACAAATGATGGCTGGGCTGTGGGAAAAAAGGAACCCTTCTCCACTGTTGGCAGGAGTGCAGACTGGTTCACCTACTATGGAAATCAGTGTGGAGATTCCTCAAAAAATTAAAACTAGAACTTTTATTTGACCCAGCTATTCCCTTTTGATTTTCCTGAAAAAAATAAAAAACATACCACAGCAATATATGCACATCCTTGTTTTTAGCAGCACAGTTTGTAATAGCAAAATTTTGGAAACAGCTCAAATGCCCATCAACTGATGAATGGACAAAGAAAATGTGGGTTCTTTATAAGATGGAGTACCATTCAGCCATAAAGAACAAACTTGAGACATTTATAGCTAAATGGACTCACCTTGAGACCATACTCTTAAGTGAAATAAATTGGATGCACATGTGCAAATATCACATTTTCTCTCTAGTGTGAGAAACTGAAAATTTTAAATAAGGATCAAAATGTATAAGAGATATTGAGAAATAGGAAGAGAATTTTTAAATGGGAAGGGAAACTAGGAAGGGGATAGGGGGAAAGGAAGGAAGAAAAAAGAAGAAAAAGATGGAAACAAAGCTTTTGTAAATAAGGAGGGAAAGAGAGGTTGAAGGGAGGAGGGGGATTGGGGAAAAAAAGAATCAAGTTATATCAGGCAGGGAGTTTTAAAAGAGGAGAAACAT